AATATAAAAAAACTAAGACCTTCTTTAAGATTCTCCCAAATCATAACTCAAACATAAACTTCTCCCTCCAATTACTCCTCTTCATTCTATACTCCTTGATTTCCTTTATCCCTCTATCCCTCTGACTTGTTCCCCTTCCCGTCAAGCTGGCCAGAAACCTCAAAAGCATAGTACCTCTTGAAGTCAAACCTCCTTTACAACAGGGAAAGCCTCTTCGAGCTGATTTCAAGACCTGATCTCATTCTGAGCTGAGATTTCATCCTAAGGTCTAAACAAGACTGGGATAAATCTGCAGAGAAATTTAGAATCATTTTAATAATTGATAACCCAGGGATCCCAGATCTATACCAACCAGTTCATACACTAGTGATAATCCCAGATAAAAAAAAAACAAAGAATGGAGAAAGCACAATGTAAGGAATCGGAAGGTATTGTTGCTTGTATAGTGGTGAGTAAAAAAGTAAATTTAAAAAAAAAATCTGAAGGTGACTTGTGATTGCCTAGAAGCCAAAAGAGGTTCAAATAGGACTTTCAGAGACTATCAGCAAAGTCTTTCCTATATTGAACTCTGATTCAGCCTGTTAGAAATGAAAGGCTAAATCCACTATAGAGATCAGGGACATACCTTTAGATAGCACTCAAAAAAAGATTCTGAAACATGTAGCCTCATCTCTTAATCTCTTATTTCTGTAAAAGTCTTTAAGGCAGAAATAAGCCTCACTTCCAGACCACAAATGCTTAAACATCTGGAAAGAGTCTTAGAAAAAAGCAGAATAAAATGATGGCCTTCACATAAAATAACTAGATGCTTCTACCTCAAACACTGAAGGAGGGAGTCTACTAATACACTTACAAATACTATAAGTAGAAAGGACACTGGAAAAACAACTCTTCTGCAAAAGATAAGGAACAAAGGAGAAAAACTAAGTAATTAATAAAAGTGTTCTGAGAGGGAAGCCAGGCACCCAATTTCCTTTTATCTTTAAACAATAAATTTCTCGAAATTATTAAAAGACAATCTTACAAATTTTTTACCAATACAAGCACTATAATACCAACCTTAAACTCCATAGTTGTTACATAACCTACCATAAGGGTCATACCTAGGTGTGGATTTCTCTGTTGAGGCTCAAAAAACTTGATAACCTACAGACTGGCACCTTAACAGAACCGAAAAAAATTGTAAAGACCAGCTGGGCTCAGTGGTTCAGCCTGTAATCCCTCACTTGGGGAGGCTGAGATGAGTGGATTGCCTGAGCCCGTGGGTTCGAGACCCGCCTGGGCAACTTGGCAAGACCTCATCTCTACAATAAATCAAAAATTAGCTGGGCGTGGTAGCACATGCCTGTAGTTCCAGCTGAGGCGGAAGGATCGCTGGAGCCCAGCAGGTAGAGGCAGCGGTGGCTGTGAGCATGCTACTGCACTCCAGTCTGGGTGGCAGAGTGAGACTCCAACTCAAAAAACAAAACAAAACAAAAATTGTAAAGGCCTTAGAAACAAGGTCTTTCTGACTTTCCCGTCCTCCTGTTTCCCACACATCTTTCTCCCAGGAATAAAGCAAGTGATAGAAACCAGAATTCCTCTCCCTAAGGTGAGTCACAAAAACTAGAACCCTCTCCCCCCAAAAGGCCATAAAACTTAGAAAGGTCATTCTCTCTCATGTCCCTTCTTCCTTGAAGACTCTCATTCCAGAGGAGTTCTGCACCATACCTGGGGGGCAGGAATGCTACACTTAGATGCCAAAAAGAATCTCAACAGACAGGCCTTGCTGGGTCACCCGTTCCCCTCACCAGTCTACTACCATTAGACCATTAGACCATACCCCTTTGTCTAATCACATTTCTACACAGCTATCCATTCTTCATCAAGACTATGCATAAAATTAGAAAGTTTTCCCTGACACTTTGAATCTTCATTTCTGAAGGTTCCCATGTCACATAAATCTTTGGTTAAATAAATGTGCTACACTTTTCTCTGGTTAACCTGTCCTTTGTTATAGGAGTTCGGCCATGACCTTCATAATAGGTGAAAAGAAAAAAAAAAGGTGAAAAAAAATTCCTATCTTTCTGCCCCTACATTTTCTATAACTTTCAGTCTCCAAATTCTAACCCACAATTGTTCAAGAAGCATTTGACCAACACTCTTCTCCTCCTTTATCCTACTATACGTCACTTAACAGTAAAAGATTTACTGTACAAATGCAGTTGCCAGATAAATACTCTCCCCTTGCCTTCTTCCATGAAAACTAAAATTTGTCATAGCAAACTTGTATCAAAGTCAAATCCAAAATGAGGATCTAAATGAGGTGCCAGTCTTCTTGTGGGCAAAAGTTCCACTGATACTGGCAGAATTAATGAGGCTGAACCCATTAAAGCTTAGAGTAACCAATACAAACCTTTGCACAAACTTCATAATATCCCCTTTTAGCCTTTCAGCTTTTTTTTTTTTCTTTTTTGAGTTGGAGTCTCACTCTATCGCCCAGAATGGAGTGCAGTGGCCACTCCCAACCACCACAGCCTCGACCTGCCGGGCACCGGCGATCCTTCCGCCTCAGCCTTCCAAGTAGCCAGAACTACAAGCACGCCCTACCACATCCAACTAATTTTTTGATTTATTGTAAAGATGAGGTCTCGCCAAGTTGCCCAGGCGGGTCTCGAACCCACAGCCTCAGGCAATCCACTCACCTCAGCCTCCCAAGGCGCAGGATTACAGGCTGAGCCACCGAGCCTGGCGAAGGCTTTCAGCTTTAAAAGTTCCTTTTAGAACTAAAATCTACAGTTGAAAACACATTAGAAGACTCCTTAAACCTCTACCAGTCATTGTAACATTCCTATCCTCCCAGGCAAAAAACTGCAACGGTGTGTATAGTCGTGTATAGTCATTAACGAACGACCTCCTAAGAGCTATAAAGAAAACAGTCATTCCCACTTTCCTGCAGTACTAAACCTAGACACTTGTTTTATCTTTGGTGCCTTCAGAGGCTACAAATTTCAGATCCATGTTCTGCTTTTTTCAGTGTTCCTTTTGCTCAAAATAGCCAATAGCTGTTTGGCTTCTAGGAAAAATTTAAAGTACTGTATATGCGGGATGTTCCCAAGAGTTCCCTACCACTTTTCACAAGTCCCCAATCAAGACCTCAAAGACTTTAAATTTCCCCATGATTTTCCTTTTATCTAACATGTGGATAACTTTCTGTTGTGCACTAAACATAAGGCATGTTCTAAGACGATTTCATCTCTATTTCTACACAAAAAAGTTATATGATTTCCAAAAAGGAGTTGTTATAGGGCAACCCCTTCAGGTTCCCTCCCATTGTGGGAGCTTTTTTGTCCTCTCAATAAATCTTGGTTTCTCACTTTAAAAAAAAAAGAAGTTATAATTCTGTCAAAGTATAATGCATCATATAGAATGTGATTTATTCCAAAGAGGTAACTCACTCACTCCTCACTGTCAGTCCTAAAAACTCCCATTAAATTTCCTAGATCAAGTCTCATTATTTTTACCCTATAATATTCCAATGATTTATGTTTTTCCTCTATGTTGTACAACATTTTTCCACTTAATCTTCCAAGCCACTAATTCAGCTTTCAATAGCAGCTAAGCTTTCTGTCATCCACTGGATTGTTCTATTGGGGAATCTTATTTTTTGGCTAGAAAAGCATTGTGCTACAATAAATCTCCCTAAGTGATTATCTCTTTGGGCTACTCTAACCCTGGGGTTCTGTTGTTTTCCTTATTCTTCCTGGGTGTTGGCTGTAATTTTCTTTCTCAGCATTGGAACCCAGCTCTAGTTGTTAAAGCATCCCAAGTGACAGCATAATCACTGGAAGGTACAACATTCTCTACCCCGTGATAGAGTGGACATTGTCCCCACCTCTTCATTTTCTCCTTTAACAGAATTATATACCTAATGTCCTCTGCCATGTGCAGAGCCTGTCACTGTAAACAGAGCACACTTCTCAGTCTCAAAGGCTTTAGGCTTGGCCATATGACTCACTTTGGTCAACAAAACATAGTCAGCAATAATAGAAATAACAGTGTGTGTGTGACTGCTCCCTGTTGCACTTCTGCCACCTTTCATGGCAACAACCTGTCCCAAGTAGTCCTGGTCTCAAAATGAAGAAACATGCAGTAGATCTAAACCTAGCTCCACAGACAGAGCTGTCCCAGCAAATCTGCAGATCCATGAATGAGAAAGATAATTGTTTACTTTGAAAGCCACTGAGATTTTCGAGATTGATTGTGCTGGCAGGAAAAATAAAAGACTGGCTAACATGGTAAATATGAGCTAGTGGTAAAGCACCAAGTAGGTTCCTAATACCCCCATGAAATACTGAGATAAACACCTTCCCGTTCTGAAATATCCTTGCATTTTTTTTTTTAAGCACCATAGATATAAAGGATTTCACTCACTCTTTTCAGTTTATCCCTAGCCCCTGGAGACCTGGAAGACCAGGCAAATGTTGATTGACAAGAAATCCTCATATCTCTGAAGCCATTTCTCTACCCTGAAGAATCCCCATTTCCACCCTTGCCCCATGTGCTTCCTTAAGTTAGTCTCTGGTTCTCCACCAGTCCTTATTATAGAAAATCCTATAAATGCTATGCCATGGGGAAAGAGAACCTAAGCCCCCTCTTATTTATGTATTATTTAAAACCCTACCCCAGCAGTTACTGGAATCTAGAAAGAAAGATACACTAGAATTGGGAGTAAAATTGACAGAATGATTCTTTAGAAGGCCATTATTTACCAAGAATTGGTCTTTATAAAATATACCACTTAACTTATGGTACAGGTGTACAATGATATTGGATCTATAAAATTATATCTATAACCTATAACATCAGGTTTTAAATATTTAAGATATTTTGCAAAAGATCACATAAGTTAGATTCTCAGTCTGAAAGGCACCACTGAGATTAAGAAGTCTGCAAGTAACTAACTTGAGCCAAGCAGCTCAAGTATATGCCTTTGTAGGTTTCATATTATCTTAACTCACCATTTTCAAGAGGTACATCCTCAGGCAGATCCACATCAAGCATAAGGTCATCATCCTCAAGGTCACATGATTCAAGATTATTCAAAATATCCTGTGAACAAAAGCAGTAAAGAAATACTATAACTTAGCTCAAAGGAAGTGCATAACCATTAGTTTTCAAAATATCACCATATGGCCAGGCATGGTGGCTCAAGCCTGTAATCCTAGTACTTTAGCAGGCTGAGGCAAGAGGGTTGCTTGAGCCCAGGAGTTTGAGACCAGCTTGGGCAAGATAGTGAGATTCTGTCTCTGCAAAAAATACAAAAATTAGCCAGGTATGGTGGCCTGCCCCTGTACTACCCCGTACTACCCAGAAGGCTGAGGCACAAGGACCCCCGAGCCCAGAAGGTCATGGCTGCGGTAAGCCATGATCATACCACTACACTCCAGCCTGAGTGAGATACCAATTCAAAAAATAAAATAAAATAAAATATTACCATATGATAAACTGGATGTACTAAATGTTTGCATTGTATGAATAAATTTTTAAAAATTAAAAAATAGATTCAACTAATTTAATTAACTTATTTGTAACATCCTTCTCCAAGTCTTCTTCCCTCCTAGTATTCTCTCCAATCTAAATTTTTATTTTCACATTGTAAAAACTTATATAATGCTCACTAATGTGCCAGTTATTGCTCTAACCACTTTACAAACATTAATTCATTTGTGTAATCTTCAATATAGCCCTATGAGTTAATGACTAATATGCTCACTATATTATATATTATCAAACTGATATATAGAGAGCAAAATACCTGGTCAAAATAGGATGTGAAAAAAAGTGATCTGAGTCCATGCTTTTAACAACGTCCCTCATAACAAGAATAATCAAAAATAGTGAACAACCGCTCAACATTTTATTCATATTTTGGTGTGGGAGTTGTGTTTTATTGTTTCTTTTTTTTTTTTTGAGTTGGAGTCGCACTCCCGTCGCCCAGACTGGAGTGCAGTGGCCGCTCCCGGCCACCGCAGCCTCGACTGGCGATCCTTCCGCCTCAGTCTTCCAAGTAGCAGGAACTACAGGCATGCGCTACCACGCCCAGCTGATTTTTGATTTTTTTTGTAGAGATGAGGTCTCGCCAAGTTGCCCAGGTGGGTATCGAACCCGTGGCCTCAGGCAATTCACTCACCTCAGCCTCCCAAGGCACAGGATTACAGGCTGAGTCACCGAGCCCGGCATGTTTTATTATTTCTAGGGACTGAACTACTTCATAAAATAATGAACTAATCCTTGTAATGCCCTGATTATTTCATTCCTTCCTTGTAACAAACCTACCTCCTACTACCATCAGCATCCCACCACCTCCTTGGTTTGATTCAATGTGTTCTTTTTCTATAATAAGATTAAGCTACTCAAACTGCCAATAAGCTGTCTTTGCCAGGTTTTATTTGCAACCTCACTAGTTATCATCTCTCCTTAGAAAAGTAGTGTTTTGTTTTCAAAGATTGTGGTCGTGAAGCCTAAAGAACTGAATAAACAAAATCTAAGGTTAAGATAAACTAGGTTTGACCTATAGCTTACTGGTAGATCCTTATAATCCAAGAACTGATCCAATATTATAAGATCTTCCCCTTGTATATAAAAGTAAAAAGATCACAAGTTCACAAATTGTTAAATGACCGAGTGATTGTGGCCATGAAAAATTCATAGAAGGAAAATATCTACTTTAATATGGATAATATAAATAAAATTATAACTGTTTTGTATGTCAGGTATTCCATCTAAATATTTCCAAATTTGTTGGGCCCTCCAAGGATAAAAAGTAACTGGAATAATTATTTTTTTTAAATCCCTGGATAATTATTTAACCTTGGATAAAAAGGAGGTATTTCTCAGAACCTCTTTCCATCTTGAAAATATTTGCTGTCCTTAATATACAGTTTTTCTAAAAATCAAGGAAAAAATGGCAGCTAAACTGCCACAAAGATGGAAATAATAAACACTGGGGACACCAATAACGGGGGAGGGGAGAGATTGGTTAGGATTCAAAAACCACCTACAGAGCACAATGTTCACTGTCTAGGGAATGGCAACCAATCCCCACCACTACACAGTATGTCCATGTAATGAATACGCATGTGTACCCCCCTGAATCTAAAAATAAAAATAAATAAATACAAATTGTAGACCAATAAAAAGGATAAAAAAATGAGCACAACAATAAAAGATGAACATGAAAAAAATTGGCAAAGAATATAAAGACAATTTACAAATATAAAATAATGACCAACAAATGATAAGGGAAAGAATGCTACCACCAATGTCGACTTATCACATATTAGAAGACTCTATTATTCATCTATACTGCAGATAAACAAAGATTCATACACATATTATGGCAGGCAATTTATCAAAATGTAGCTAAAGCATTATTTAAAGGCATACTTTTTCTTCATCCAAGAATTTATTCCTTGAAAATGGTCAGAATAATGAACAAAATGTAACTGTAAATAGCATCTGAATTTACAATGCATTGCAGCATTTTCAGGATGGCAAAAAGTAGAAACAACCTAAATGTCAAACAATAGAAAAATGGTTAAAAAGAAAGTAAGGTACAAACATGCAATGGAATACTCTGTTTTTCCTTTAAAAGATAATAAAAATATCTTTTATGGAAAAATGTTAACTAGGGATTAAAAAAAAGACTGAGCTTTTTCTAATCTTTTGCTCTTGAAAATAATGCTACAACAAATCTCTCAAAAGCAAAATGAAATAAATGGATATAACTATGTGTCAGATTGATGGTATAAAACTCAGAAATTATAACAAATAGGGGGATTCCTGTTTTAGGTAATTATATTAAGGGTAGAGTGCTGGAATTATTATTCTAAGGTGGTTGTGTATATGTGAGTATAAGTAAAATGAGTTATTATATTAATGTTTGTTGAAAAACAGATTCTCATCTTAGAAAAAGGATATCAAAATGCAAGAATAATGAAATTAAGTAAAACCTATATATTCCTGAATTCCGATCAGAAGTATCAGTATGAACACAAGATGTATTTCCTCTTAAAAGAAAAATACAGGCCGGGTTCGGTGGCTCAGCCTATAATCCCAGCACTTTGGGAGGCCGAGGCAAGTGGATTGTCTGAGCCCATGGGTTCGAGACCCGCCCAGGCAACTTGACGAGACCTCGTCTATACAATAAATCAAAAATTAGCCAGGCGTGGTAGCCCACGCCTGTAGTTCTGGCTACTTGGAAGGCTGAGGCGGAAAGATCGCCGGAGCCCAGCAGGTTGAGGCTGCGGTGGCTGGGAGCGTGACCCTGCACTCCAGTCTGGGCAACAGAGTGAGACTCCAACTAAAAAAAAAAAAGGAAAATTACATTTCTTCCACTGAAAAGAACTAGATGTTAACTGGGAGGAGGGAAAAAAAGCAGGTGTCTAAAACAGCATGTACAGAATTATCGATTTTATAAAAACAAATTTTATAATGTGCACAGAAAAAAAGTTGAAAGAAAACCAAACCATAGATTTAATACTTTTAGAAATATGAAGTCTTTCTTTTTTGGTTTAAAGTATTTGTTTTCTCATTTTCTACAATAAACATGAGTAATTTTACCCTCCCCCCAAATTTTATCTTCTATACTAATTTTACTCCCCCAAAAAATCATATCCTCTATAAAACATTTGGTTGTTTGTGTATTTATGTCTGAGTAAGTGTAAATGAAACAAGATAGAGTTGGGTACCCTAGGCCAGATATAACAACTAAGGCCACAGCAAAGAATCGAAAGCAATATAAGGCACACTCTAAATCCAGAGCAGGGCCTGCTGTGACACACTAAATTCACAAAAGGAGCACTGTCACTACTGCCAAAAAGGTATCAAATTTTCAATAACTAAACAATATGTCAGTTTTATGTGGTTTTCTGTATCTTTTCTTTCATAATGAAAGGTTTAAAAAAGCAATAGCCTTGCTGGGAGTGGTGGTGGCTCACCCCTGTAATCCCAGCACTTTAGGAGATAGAGGTGAGAGGATTGCCTGGTTTGAGACCAGCCTGGGCAATATGGCGAGACCTCTTCTCTACAATAAATCAAAAAATTAGCTGGGCATGGTGGCACGTGCCTGTGGTTCCAGCTAACTTGGAAGGCTGAGGTGGAAGGATCACCTGAGCCCAGCAGGTAGAGGCTGTGGTGGCCATGAGCATGCCTCTAACTCCAAGCCTGGGTATCAGAGAGAGATTCCAACACACACACACAAAAAAAAGTTGCCTCAAAGAACAGAAATGAGCCTGTTCTAATGAATGTAAAAGTGATGAAGTAATTATGATCTCACTTTGAGAAGTTACTAAGAAAGTCCAGTGGAAAAAGAAGAGGAAAGAGGAGCACAGGAGGAAAAAAGGAAGGAGAGGGAGGGTGGGAGGGAGGGAGGGAGGGAAGGAAAAAAGAAAACCATCTATATATCAAAAAACCATTACTTATGATGTTTCAGAAATGTTTCTCAACACATAGAAAGATACTGTAAAATGGGGGGTCAGAGAAGAAGCAGATTACTTACATACAATATGGCTACATCTTTAATGCTGAAAAATACATTTAAATATCTATAAGGTGATAAACCAAAGGACAGTTATAATCTTCCAATATGTTGAAATAGTATGTGTTTATACTCTTTATATTGTTTATTTTTCTGCAATAGGTCATAATGCTTTTATAAGTAAAACATCATACTGGATAAAGTCTTGGCATCATCAGGGAAGTTCAAATCACACAAACCCAGCCAGCATGAGGGAATCTACGATCCAGTCCATGCCCTAACGATGATAAAAACCAGGGCCACATGCTCCTCCTTCCATGCAAGCCTTTCTGGACAGCTTAGATACCTGTCCTGTTATCCCTAGAAAGTCTCATTTGGTGACTAATAAGTCTTTTCAGACGCTCTTGGTACATGTGTGGCATCACCAGTCTTGGCATCTGATCAATTTGGGAGGAGGGGGATTGATTCTGCCCCTCCATGTGACAACCACAAGACACACTCTCAATAGTTTACAAACATAAATACCAATATATGCAAAGCATTAATCTGGGCACAGAATATACCCATGTAA